CTCGCACGACCACCAATACAAGCCAGGTCGAGCGTTGTTTGCGAGTGCGACCGCGCTGCCAGGAATCGCGGTCGCAATCGCAAACAACCAGCACGGCCGCCAACGCGACCAGGAGCATGACCACCAGCACGACCACCAGCACGATAACTACACCGAGCAGCCAGATGCGTGGTGTCTGGGATTTGGTGTTTGGAGCTTGGTGTTTGAGGCTAGTTTTGTTTGGTGTTTTGGGTTTGGGGTTTGATGTTTGGTGGTTTATGGTGCATGGTGTTTGGTGTATGGTGGTGTTTGATGTATGGTGTTTGGTGATTGAGGTTAGTGGTTTGTTTTTTGGGGTTCGGGATTTGATGTTTGGTGTTTGGTGTCTGGGGTTCGGTGTTTGGGGGTTGGTGCTTGGGGTCTGGCGTTTTGGGTTTGTGGTTAGGTGTTTGGTGTTTGTTTGGGGCTCGGTGGTTGGTGTTTGGTGTTCGGGGTTTGGTGTTTGTTTGTTGCTTGATGCTTGGTGTTTAGTGTTTGGTATTTGTGGTTTGGTGTTTGGCGATGTGTGGTGTTTGGGGTTTTGGGCTTGGGGCTTGGTGTTTGGTGATCTATGGTGTGTGGTGTTTGGGGCTTGGTGTTAGGTGTTTGGAGGTGGTTGGTGCTTGGTGTTTGGTGTTTGACGTTCGGGGTTAGTTGTCTGGTGGCGCATTGTGTTTTCCGTTTGGGATTTGGTGTGTGGTGTTTGGTGTTTGGCGGTGTGTGGTGCTCGGTGGTGTTTGGTGTTTGGTGTCTGGTGTTTGGTTGTGCTTGGTCTTTGGTGTTTGGGGTTTTGGGCTTGGGGTTTATTTGGCGGTGTTTGGCGCTTGTTGGTGTTTGGTATTTGGTGTCTGGTGCTTGGTCGTGTTTGGTGTTTGGTGTTTGGTGGTGGTTGGTGCTTGGTGGTGTTTAGTGTTTGGTCTTTGGTGTTCTTTGGCGTTTGGTGTTTAGTGTTTGGGTGTTGGTGGTGTTTAGCGCTTGATGCTTGTGGGCGTTCGACGTTTGGTGTTTGGTGGTGTTTGGTGTTCGGTGGTCTTTGGTGTTTGGTGGTTTGGGGTTTTGAAGCTTCAGCCAGGGAATAACCCACTTTTGCCGCGGAGCAGCCCGTCCAACCGGGGAATAGCCCGTCCGACCGGAATCTAGAATTCGGCCAAGTGGGGGAGCGGGGGAAGGCCTTCGTAACAGATGGACGGCTAAGGGGACGGCGTGGAGGTATAGACAAAAGACGCACTGGTGCAACGCACGCAAGGGGGAAGGTCGCATCACGCGCCGAGCGAGAGGAATCCAATGCTCATCCCGCAGCGCCGTCTGGTACGTCCAAATCCGTTCTACAGAGCGGGCAGGCTTTGGAATAGTTGCCGATCCAGTCAGCCAGGCACGTCTCGTGGAAGAAATGCCTCGGATCACTGCATGCACAGAGGTCGTCAACGAGGAACAGGTTACTGCCAGAGATGCCGCATGATGGTATGGAGCGCACAAAAGATCAGAGGTCGACAGAAATCATTGCCAAACTTTCCCTCGAATTCTGATTACACTGCTCTTCGTCCTGGGCAAACAACTCCTGGGAAATCAACTTAGGTAAACATGAGGAGGAAAGGTCCTGACGGAAACATGTTCTGGATCCCACGGCTTTCCCAAATAAATATGTTTCTCATGAGTTGTTTTCTGATGGTCCCCAGGCCCAGGAAGGGTCCCAGAAGGTCAAGCTGCTGCTGATGCTGATCCATCCCAAATGCTGCAACAGGTAAGGGATGGACAGGGAGACAATTTTCTGATCTGGTCCTACCTTTAGCGCCGTGCGCATTCGTCTTAACCTTCTGCGGTGTTTCCAGGGATAGAAACAGGAATCGTTCTCAACGTGTTTTCTTTCGCCTTGACGCCGCGCGCAGTCGTCTTTACGTTTGCAGCAACTTCACATATGGGAGGCGGCTCCTGAAAAAGTGGGGTTCTCGCCTGAATGCCGCGACCGTGTTCCAACATCTCACGACCATTTCAATTCCAGCGGCCCCCTTGTGGGGCCATCAAGCTGCGGGGGTCAGGCTTTCTGCTCACTGCTCCTGTTCCAGGTCCAAGTCTCCCACGTTGTAGTCCCACTTTCTACTTCCGACTGTAAATTGTTGAAGTCCGCGCGAGGGGGGAACCCCAAACCATCCTTTTCACCTTCCCCGGATCGCGTCCTCTGATTTCCTGCGGGGCCGTGGGGCACGTACTATCATCGATCCACAAACCCTGACAAGGATACAGAAATGTGAGGCATGGGAATCGTTCAAGGCGCCACATTTGGGCGACGGGCAATTGCTCTGCTCAAGACAACGATGGTGATTCATAGTGCTAAGGGCTGTGCTGCGATCAACTGAGACGCGCCATGCCGCGTTGAAATGCTGTGCTCTATTTCATTGTGGGTCAAATCGTCCGTGGCGTCAGAGTCCGGATCGAACTGATCCGGATCTTCAGATCGAGCTGCCTGAACGCATAACTCAGACCTGGCCGCAATCGAAGAAAGGCGCGGGGCGCTCGACCAGCTCGAATTCACAATCCGATTTAAGTCCCAAGCGAGACGGAGCGAAAGGATCTGTGCTCTCTTGCGTGGTGGATCAAATATTCCCTGGCATGTGAATTGCTGCTGCGTCGGACGCAACTTAGCCAAGTGGTTCAACGATTTCGGGTGCACGCGTGTGATACATACGCATGTAGCTGAAATCGTTGATTACACAATTTTGTGAGACACGCTTGGTACCGCGAGGCGTCAATGACGGTTACGGGGAGGCCCGTCTTCCTCCTCCCTTCTCTTCTTTTCCGAACCCTCCTGGAAGATGCAGGGAGGCACCCCCCTTCTCCCGCCCTTCTTCTCTTTCTGCTGCCACGACCGCCGCCGCGGAATTGGCTGGGTGCCCGTGCATCAAGCAACTGCCCTCGTCGTCGTCCTCTGCCTCCTCCTCCTCCTCCTCCTCCTCCTCCTCCTCCTCCCCTGATCCCTCCTCCCCCCTCCTCTTTCAACCTCATGCCAATCCTCTTACTCGTCGTCGCGGTCCTCCCCCTCCTCCTCATCCTCCTCCTCCTCCTCCTTGTCCTCGTCCTCCTCCTCCTCCTTTTCCTTGTCCTCCCTCCTGCATTATTATTATCTCCTCCTCCTCCTTCTCCTCCTCCTCCCGCAACCCTCCTCCCCCTTTTCGTCGTCCTCGTCCTTGCCGTCATCGTCGTGTTCCTCCTCCTCCTCCTACTCCTCCTCCTCCTCCTCCTCCTCCTCCTCCTCCTACTGCTCCTCCTGGCGCGTAGCCAAGAGCGGATGTCCTTGAGGTCATAGCACATGTGAGGCCTCCTCCTCCTCCTCCTCCTCCTCCTCCTCCGTCTCTTCCCTGATCAAGTAAGTCTGCATGACTACAGCATGAGAAAACGTAGCAAAACAGAATAATCGTCTCGCTTGCAGAGCGTCCGCTTGATGGGATTGTCCGCGTCGAACTCCTCCCCGCCCCTCATCCGATTGTGAAGGCATTCAGCGAAATGCGATACGAGATGCTTGTGAGCACGACTTCTGACATCAAAATCTGCACTCCCCACCACCTCCAATAATGGCGGATAAGAGCGAGGGGGCCCGGGTCGCGGTCGCGGGTGGGCCGCGGCGCGGGTCGCGGGTCGCGGTCGCGGTGGGCTCGCCGCGGGTGGGTCACGAGTTGGGCCGCAGATGGGCCGCTGGGCGGGTGGGCCGCGGGTGGGTCACCAGGCGGTGGGTCGCGGGGCGGCTCGTGGTTCGCAGGACGGGTCGCGGGGCGATGACGACGGAGACAATCACAATCATCTTCATACTGTTCGCTCTCACTCGATCGCGTGTCTTTCAACATGTGTACACCCAGATCTCGCTACCCGCCCTACTTCTCATCGACCGTGCGTCCTTCGGGGGTCTCTTCTCCCTTCCCGTTGAGTAAGAAGATAATGATGATGATGATGATGATGATGATGATGATGATGATGATGATGATGATGAGGATGATGATGATGAGTAAGCAAATGGGGGAGCGAAGGACGGAAGGGGTGAAGAGGGATGAGGGAGGGTACATGAGAACGGAGAGCGAAGGAAGAAGCGAGGAGGGAGGGGTAAGGAGGGACGACGGAGGAGACGAGGAGGCGGAAGAGGCTGGCCAAGCACTCATGATTCCAGGGCTCGGGGGTGCCTGATCCCCGAAGCAGTCGTGACGTGGGGGCCCGAAGTGCAGAACGCCTCGAGAACCTCTAGATTTTGATGGGGAAGGGGAGGAGCTGCATTCCAGAAACAAACCATTGCATAAGCATTCCTTTTTAACCATTGCGTAAGCATGAGCTGTCGGAGGCCCGCGCCGCCTGCTTGGATCGGCGCTGGAGCCCCCTGGCGGCTCCTCCGGCGCCGCCGCTGACGCGCCGCAGGGAGGGGGGCCCAGCGCCGACCCAAGAAATCAGCGCGGACCTCCCAACAGTTCTGTTTTGGCCATGGCATATCTATATATATATATATAATATATATATATTATATATATATATATATTCGGGAGCGGCCAAGAGGGGGGTGTCCAAGAGGGGGGGATGCAAATCATGACCGGCGGCATGTGCGCGGCCCAGCGGGGGGGCCGGGGACGTAATGAGATAAGAAGAGGCGCCACAACATCTGGGGAGATATCATTTCCCCCGCCATGATATCCAACCCCCCATAGTCATCACCCCCCTCTTTGCCGCCCCCGACACATACACATCCTTTTGCCGATGTACGCTCCCAGGAAAGAGCACTCCAGAATCCGAGGGGCTGCGGGAGGTCGGACGAGCAGAACTGCTGCAGGGGGCCTCCCGCGCGGTGGCGGCGCTGCTGCCCACAGCCGAAGGCCCCCGGGGGTGCAGCCTTGGCGCGCAGGAGCCGGCCTCGACCAGGAAGGATCGGCCGCGGGCCGGTCGGGGCAGCGCCCCAGAAAGGCCCCAGGATGCCCCAGGAGGCCCCCAACAGGCCCCCAAGAGGGCCCCAAAAGGCCCCCAAGAGGCTTCCAGGGGGCGCTTAAGAGGCCCCAAACAGGCCCCAAGGAGGGCCCAAGAGGCACGGGCGGCGGAAAGTCGGCGAAGGCAATTTCGATACCATGCCGGGCCCGGCGCATGGGAGGAGGAGCGGGAGGAGGACTGGCGGCGGCCCTCGCTGGCGTTGCTCGTCCTCTCTCTGGGTCCACCGGTGGCTTCTGGTCGTCGCGGCCGGATCCGCCTCGAAAAGCGTGCGTGAGCGGCAGTCAAACACGGGTCTTGCGCGATGGCGCAGCGACCTCACGCCGCGGCTGACGCGGGCTGCCAGCGCGGCAGGTTACACTGGGAGCGAGGGCGCTCACGCGCGAGCTTACGCGGGCAGCTTGCGCGCCAGTGTCGCCGCAGACGGCTCCGTTTTTTGTTGCGTCGCCCATGTCAGTATGGAGACGGGCCCGGGTCGGGGGACCGACTCCAAGAGGACTTGGGCTGGGCGGGAGATGCGCCGTTCTCTCGACAACTGGCCCTCCTCCGAGCGGAGGTTGCGAGCCTCGATGGACACACCTCGATCCCAAGATCAGCGGCACATGGTGGCAACTGGCTAGCAGCAACTAGCGGCTCACGCCCCGCGCCAACCGACCACAAATCACCCCATATTTGCCGCTAGTGGCCGCTAAGTTCAAAAGCAGGTTTCGGTGAAATTCAAGGCTTGCGTAGAAACAAACCGAACCTCGGTCGGTGAAGACCGAGGTACGCCGAGGATGGGTGACCAAAAGCGAACCACGGCCCTCCGAGACGCGATGGGAGTGAGGGGCGGGCCTCCTGGAACGAACAGCCAGGACAACTGCCCGCCGATTGCGCGGGCACTGCTCCGCAGAGGATTGGCAAACCAAGGCAGAAGCCCACCACGGGAGCCGGTCTTCTCACATGGTGCCTTTCTCGCGCGGGCCAGCACCGACGCCCCCGCTGGGCCCCGCGGCGACAAGCGCCAAGATCCCAAGGGCCACCCCCAACGGCGTCGTCGTCGTCGTCGTCGTCGTCGCGATCGTCGTCTTCGCGGTCGTCGTCGTCGACGGCGCTCCCCCAACTCCGGCCGCCCCGCCCCCCCCCTCAACGCTGCCGGCCTCCCTGGCCAGACCCCGCCGCCGCCACGACGCCAGCCCCAGGCCTCGCCCGGGCTCGCCAGCGCTCCCCCCGCCTGAAGGACGAGGACGGTGACGACGACGGTGACGATGACTGTGATGACGTCGTCGTCGTCGTCATCGTCGTCGTCATCTTCGGAGAAGGACGGGCCAGCCCTCCACCCAGAGGGGTAAACGCAGCCTCGCTCCCTCGCCCCGAACCAGCCAGCACGTGTTCGACCTGACCATCGCTCCGATTCTTCTCCAGAGGTGGAGCCGCCTCGGTATCCCACACGTAGCCTGCACAAACCTGATTGGACAAGAACGGGAAACGCCAATTTTGTCCATTGGGCTCGTAGGGGAACAAACAAAAAATAATGATGGCGACGACAAGACGGCGGATGTCGAGGATGGCAGCGAGGATGACAGGGAGGGCAGCGAGGGTAGCGGAAGGACAACGAGTAGAAAGACATACGCGAGGACGACGAGGAAGTCATGGAGGAGGACGAGATAGAGGAGGAACAGAGCGAAGGAGGAGGATGAGGAGGAGGGAGAGGAGAAGGAGGACGAGGGGGGGAGGAGAAGCAGTGCTCCTCGCCTCTCATTTTTCTTTCCTCCTCCCTCCTCCTGCCCTCGCCCTCCCTCCTCCTCCTCCTGCCTCGTCCTGCTCCCCCCACGCGGCGACCTGCCAACCCGCCCCCCTGTCGTGCGGGGGGAGGGGGCGCCCGTCCATCTGGCAGATGCAGCACTCCGGCGGCTCCTCGGGGGGGCCCCAGCTCTGTCGAGAACGACCGCGGAGGAGGAGGAGGAGGAGGAGGAGGAGGAGGAGGAGGAGGAGGAGGAGGAGGAGGAGGAGGAGGACCGACGAGGCCGCCAGAGGAGACGAGGCCGCGGAGGGCGAGGAGCCTCTCGGCTTCTCTCGCCTGTGAAGAAAAGCACAGACCCGCCGACGCGAACGCACGAGGGCCGAGGCGGGTGGCGCGAAGGACCACTCCGCCATCGCTTGCTCTGACGACTCCGGCCACCGACCAGCCATCACTGGGGGCGCTCTGGTCCTCACCCCCCTGTGGGAACCCACCGCGTCGACGATCTCTCGAGAGGGGTGTCGAAATCGATGGTCCCCCCAGGGGGGTACTGCAGGTTCGTGCCGTGTCGACCCTGGCGTTGGTTCCTGACACCGCGCTGGATCGTTCAACCTTGAACGATCGGCCGTCTCCGCAACGTCCGATCGTTCAACATCGACCGATTCTGGGCCGCCGTCGGCGTTCAACGTCGAACGTCGGCGGCGGGGTCGCCACCGGTCGACACGACGCGAACCTACTGTAGGGACCACGGCTTCCCCAGTTGTGGCTGACCTGGACCAGCTCTCGGAGGCTCCGACCTGCGCCCGAGGGGG